GTGTCGTTCATCTGAGTCCACATCAGGAGGCTCCTTGACAAGGTTCCAGACAAGCCTGCTTGCTAATCTATTTGATTTGTGGTGGGACCAGCTACTGTCTGTGCTGGAGGTTTCCAAAGGCGCTGTCCTGCCAGCCTCCCTCTTGTGACAAATCCCTGCCATTACACACTCAGGGGAGCACCAGTTTATGCTCAGGGTTTATAATCTGACTTGAACGGGAGATCTAAAAGCACCCTGCTGCAGGAAGGCTCTGAATATCTTGTAAACGAGCGCATAGTGGAAGTTGGGTCAAAGACTCCTTTTGTGCCTGGTCTCCAGGGTGTGCAAGTACGCGGTAATGTTTGCACTCGCAAAACGTCAAGATGCTTTGAATTGCCTGGGGTTTATCGCATGAAAGGATCTTGGCAAAAATATGGGTTTTACTGATCCCAGTATTCATTCGGGCTTATTCTTCTGATAGCATTTCCATCTACTTCAGTGTGTTCTGATTTAGCTCTTGAAGTAGAAGTGACAGTCTGTGAGGTAGGTTATAAACATCATATGGCTTCCTACTTCTCTGGAAGATACTCAGATACACAATCACAGGCATGGTATAAGAACAAAATAAAAACATACTGATGAATCTCTAAATCCCGCCATCTTAAAAGTCATCCTTCTCATATTCTGCTGGATTTGCTCCACCAGTGGTTGTGGATTTCAAGTTATTTCACTATTGTTTATTATAACAGCCCCAAACAACTGAAATGAGTGCAAGTGCTGCTGCAGTGCCTGGTGCATTGTTTCTACACTTGCTATTCCAGAGGCCTCCCCGTAACCACTGAACTGGGTATCTTCACAGACAGGACAGTATCTCGAGGAGAGGAGGAGTTGCAGTCACTGCATTACTAATGGGAAGCTGGAGCTCAGCCACTATGACAAGGTTTGCAAAGTCCTTGAAGCATGTATAACCTTCTTATGACTTGCCAAGATAAGCTAGGAAGTCCGTGACAGCACTCAGTAGAAAGTCCAGCTCTGTGAAATCCTGGTGAACTAATTCATCCATAAGTTTCCTTTTTGAGATACCTGTATCTCAAAAAGCAGCACTTACCTACAGCCCTGCCTCGGGTACAGCCAGGTACCGAGAGGGAGGTTAGGGCTCAGTTTAAGTCTCTCTCCTACAACCGTAGGGAGCCTGGGTGCGTCAGAACGGGAAGAAAGAGACAGCTCTGGTCCTGTGGTGGTGAACTTTGCTCTGCAGAATGGGACTGCGGGCAATAAACCATTATTTCTCTCAGTTTTCATGGGCATTTATTGGTACAACCCAGATGGGGTGTACTGCTTGGTTTGATGCTTTGGAAATGGTATAAGCCTGAAGAAAGACAGGAGCTAATATACTCCTACAAACGTGCTGAAATGAAATTTAGGCCACCCTCACCAGCAGCTAACCTATTGTGTTTCTGGAGCTAAAATAGAGAAAGTGTGTTCTGGTGTCAATTTTTATACCTAATACTTTTGATTTCCTTCTTATTGATACTTGCTGACAGCAGCAGAACTGCAATTACATGTGACATTATCTGCCAGAAGAGCTCTCCCATGGTTCAACCTGAGTGAGAGTGAGAGCACTATGTATAAACATAAATAATTTATGTTAGAAATATAATTATTATATTAGATAATTATCTAATTAGAAAATCCTCATTATTAATCATTTTCACAATTGCATTGTAACCAAAGGGCTGCAAGCATCTTCGTCTCAAAGTAACTTAATCTAGAATCTTCTTTTAAGTAGATTTCTGCTGTCCAGGTAATCTGGGGATTAATTCTGCAAATTTATGTAGTGCTGACATAGAATCATGGGATCGTTTGGGTTGGAAGAGACCTTTACAGGCCATCTAGTCCAACCCCCTGCAGTGAGCAGGGACATCTTTGACTAGACCAGGTTGCTCAGTGCCTCGTCCAACCTGACCTAGAATGTTTCCAAGAATGGGGCATCCACCACCTCTCTGGGCAACCTGGGCCAGGGTTTCACTACCCTCATTCTGAAAAATTTCTTCCTTACATCTAGTCTGAATCTGCCCCCTTTTACTTTAATGTGACGTGAAGGAGCTGCTTCTTTCTATAGAGAGCTGGGAGAAAGGAATATGATACTTCTATTAGTTTCCGTTCTTCCCATAGGTTCCCAATTTTGTTATTTTTTTGCCTTTTTTATAACAAAAACACACTTCAGGGCTTTTAAAACACCAATCCAGCTCAACGTCTGGTAAATACATCTGTAAATGGGTGCTTTTCTGCTGGATGGAAAGAGAATGATACGCACTGGCAATATTGCCGGTTCCAAGCCCAGTTCAGCTGGTAATCCTAGCTGCTGTGGGGGCTGCAGCTTGGGATGGGCAGCACAGTCATTGCAGGAGAACAAACATGCCTGCCCCTGCCTGCCCCCATGACCTGCCTGCAGGAGAAGACAGCAGTGGCAGTATTTGGAAGGAGAGTAGTGGGAAAGGAGGGAGCAGAGCTGCTGCCCGCAGTCTGTGGATCATTAGGGGAAGAACTTCAGTTATTGAAATGTCTTACTGTGCCTTTGTTAAGAACAGCAGCTTTTATCTCAAGAGTTTAGGAGGTGCTCTAAATCAGGTGGTTGTGGGTTGTCTTTGCATTGCATAGAGGTGGCTCAATGTCAAATGGTGTCTCAAGTGTCATGGATTTAATGGGGCACATGTACGTGCCATAACTCAGTACATCTCAGTGGCATGTGTGAGGCAAAAATAAAAGTGTCAGGAGGACATGCTGAGCTTCTTGCCTAATTGCTCACTTATTATCTGCATGGAAGTCCCAAAGCTTCTAAACAAGAGCTTGGGCAAGTTCCAACCAATGTCCTTTCTCTTGGACTCCATGATCCAGTATTCAAAATCAAGAAGGTATAATGACTGAGCAGGCCAGAACACCTGGAGTCCTGGAGTTACTGGCATCTCACTGGCTTATTTCCATTTCTGACAGTGGTAGGATTCTTGGGCAGGTTGCAAATCTCATCCAGGACTCCTACAGTTCTCCTGTGTGCTGACAGGTCACACAGCCTGAGCTCTGTTTAATGATTGCATTTCCAGATGCTGGAGGAATGAAGTCTCAGGAATTTCCCCCATATCGCTGACTCCCTGATAACCTCTTTTTTTTTCTTCTATGCAGGCTTGCCTGAATCCCTCCTACCTTCTTCAGATGGTTTGAGCAAAGAACACATCAAAGACATAGACATGTCTCTCATCAACTAAATACCAGCAACCAGGTTATCTGAAGTCATTTTCTGCTGCCTGCCACTGGGAAGAAAGTGCCTTCAGGGGTTCTCATTGTGTACCCCGAAAGTACACAGCATAACAGCTCTTGAGTAAACAGAGGCAAAATCAGCATCCCCCATCCTCCTCACTGAAACACTTTGTATTCACAATAAAACCTCTGCTTTGATCTCTTGCCAAGAATAACACAGACAGTCTATTAAAACATCTTTAATAACATGATATAATTAAAAATATCTAATGTGCAACTCAAAGAAATGAATACAAAGCTTGTTTAAATCCGTTTCCACACCCCTCCAAACTTGACTGACAGGTTCCAAACCTTCATTAATTGGCCCGAAAATTTATGAACAACATAATATGGGGGAAGGGGGTGTCCTATATATGAGTTGGGAGCACAAGGGATTAATAATCAGATTTGAAAGGATTTGGGTGCCATGGTAGCTTTAAAAATCCTGCAAGGCACATCACCACAGTTAAATTTCTGTTTAAAGTGGTCTGATACAAGTCGGAGACACTTGTCTCTTAGGATTTTAACAGCCTGTATGTTTAAGTCGCTGAAACAATCTGAGAAGTGAACTCTAAATGCTTTAGTCAATGGACAGTGTTTGTCTGAATCCACCCCTTTTCTTCACAATAACACAGGAAATTTGTACAGCACCTCATCTTTTAGACAAGCAGACCAGACCAGAGGAGCTAGAACGACTGCCGAGTCCCAGAGGAATCCTGAGTGTTGGATTATAAAGTAACTCTGGTCACAGTCTAATATGAGAGTCACTGGACTGACAATTAGGTAAGCTTCTGTTCTCTTCCTGCTCTTGTCTAAAGGACAATATTGTCCTTAGATGAGATACTTCACTTTCAAATTTAGTGAGAAAAGCAATTCAGTGCAAATGAACAAACAGGTGAACCTCAGCCCAGCATGCACCCGATTTTAGTAGATGTGAAATGAAGTGTGTTAATTTAAGTCCTGGTTAAAGAGTTTAAATTGACAATTTTAAGCCTGAGTTGCCATGACTCAGCTGAGAGACAGGAACTCAGCTGTGCGTCTGTTCCTTTGTTTCTCCTTTGATGCTCTGCACATTTTGTAGAGACCAAGACTAAAAAGCATTGCTTTTGAAGGATTCTCAGTCAGCCCAAGCATTTACTGGAAGGGATGCATGGATGCTATCGCTGAAATGGAAGAACAAGCAGATCAGTAGTAGCAGGAAGAAAATACCTGCTTTCTCCTCTAGAACATGGAAGCAAGTTGGCTGTTATATTCTGATTATATTTTAATGCAGTTCCAGTCTTTGCTAGTGGCAATACTGCAGGTATCGTCTCTCTTGTGGGCACAGAAGAGAACAGAGCATTTTTTTAAGACACCACCTCTCCATATTAGGCAGGATGATTCAATATTAACTTTACAATAGCTCAGGGCCTGCCTGCTCAGAGGTATCGTTTCATTAGGTTGACACTAGTAATTGCAGCTGCAGCCCAAGCAAGATCTGTGCAGGCTGCTCTCATTTAGAGAACGAATAGCTTGCCGTCCACCGGGAATCACAGGTTTCCTGCGGAGCTGGATCCGTTGTCTCAAAGAACAGTAGTGCAAGTGCTGGCAAGTTGAAGTAAGGCACTGAGGCTCTGCGAATCCTGCAGGAAAATCACTTGCACCCTCCAGTGACTTACACCTGTGTGATTTCTGTAGGTAGCCTGTTTACCCTTGACAGAGGGCAGTTTTGAGTCCCAGGATAACTGTCAGTTGTCATCAAAAACACCACTGTTCCTGTTACTGAAGCTGTTTTCCTTGACCATCACTCGGTATGAGATGCGCATGAAAGAGCCAGTGAGCAGCACGACAAAGAGGATAAGGAGCAAAGACCAGACCCCTGGTTCAATCCCCTTGAGGAAGCCTGGGTTGTCCTGGGGGATGGTGTTGGTCAGACTCAGCAGGTACCCAAGAGTCCAGCCAGACGAGGTACCACCCATCTATTGAAATAAAAAGGAGGAAAGGTCAGAAGAGAAGCAGACAGTCTGGACCCCAGCTGTGTTTCTGTGCACAGGCCCAAGGCCTCATATGCTTTATTTGAGACTCATCCAAGGATTAGGCTTGGAATGAGGAGGTCTCCCACTCTCAGTACCCTGAGTGCACTAATAGGCCTTAACTGCCCTGACCAGTCTCACCTGGAACTTCCACCCACCGCCTCTGCCTGGGAGCTGCATTTAAGCTCCAGCCTGGGCAGCTACCTCTTTCCTGAGCTGTGCTGTAGGTGTGTGCTGTTCCTTCTGCTGCTTACTGACTGGGTTTCCCAGATGGCCCTCAGGTCTATGTTGTGGGTAATTCTGCCTCCGGCCATGCTGCCTGGCTGAACCTCAGGTCTGTGTTTTAAGGAGCTTGTCTCTGGCTTTCCAGGCTGGGCTCCCTGGATAGACCCTGAACCTACCTCATTACCTTTAGTCTGATGTTCACCATGTGGCTGACGGAACCCCTGTCACCGATGTGGCCCTGCTCAGTGGGGCCATGCCTTTGCTGGTGAGTTAAGGCCTGGGAATAGGCTTTCTTTTCTTTTGTGAAGCGAAGGGCTTGAATTAAATCCTATGTTCCTTAGGGGCTCCAGATCCTGAAGTAATTTCAGACCACCTAAGCCAGTTATAAACCCTCACTAGTATAAAGGTGATTGCAAAGAGGTAGGGCAGTGTGTCTTGGCTCAGGAAATATTATCAGCATTTTGTCTTTGGCATTAAGTGGAGATCAAGCCATGCTTCCTTCCCTATTGGGCATAGACTCTTAAAGGTGGTATTGCTCCAGATAAAGTTTTGACCCATCTGTTTTTCAGTGGGGACAAGTGTAATCTCTAGCTCTCTGACACTGGTTTTCTTGCTTATCACAATTGTGAATTTATTTTGCAAAAACATCTTGCCGGAGAAACCTAGCTGGCTAGTCCTTGTAGGAGTGGGGACAGGCTGGCTTTATTGAAACCAGCCCTTCCTCCTAATTGGAAACACCACACGGTAGGTTACTGACCTTCTTCTGGAATGCAGTCCAAACAGACCTGTCAAAGTCAAGCGTGTATCCCTTTGTACTGAGATGAAAGATGAAGGCAGACACAACACAGTAATCAGCAAGTGTATCCAGGCTTGTTTGGGACTCCTTAACTAGCTGGTGTCATTTCCAAAAGAAGATGGGGGGGAAAATAGAAGAAGAAAATATTCAGTAGCTGAATTTCAGGCCTGCTATAACTCTCCTTTCCTGCCCTGGGACTGACTGTGGCACTGGAGGAGGGCTTTGTGTCCTGTGCAGACTGAAACCATGTTTCCTGCACGCACTGGGCTGTGGTCTGGGAACCAGCGTCATTTCTTAGTGCCTTTGTTCCCATCTTATTAAAGACCAGGCAGTTCCAAGAGCAGCAGGACTGGCAGCCAGGTCTCCTACAGTTGCCTTGCAGGTGAGCTGCTTGGTATTATGATTCTCTGCTCTCTAATTAAGTTGAGCTAATGCCACAGCCTTTCTCTCAATAGGAACATTAACAAGATCTTTCTCTTTTATCCAGAAGAGAAAGCTTTAGGGAACTGCTTATGGGCTTTGCTACCCCATTAACAAACGCTGTAGAAATTGTCCAATTTGAATGTTGCTGTGGATGCTCAGTCAGTGTTGGTGCAAATAAGGGTGACCTCATAAGCCACCAACTGAGGGAAAGAACTTACAAATTCCCCCTGGCTTGGTCTCCATGGGCCTAGGTGAAATGGGAAAGCCCCTGGAATCTGAGCGGATGCGTTCCTTGCACTTATAGGGAGAGGAGAACAGGAAGACCAAGGTGATGGACAGGAGTGAGTAGACAGCCTTCCTGTGTAGTCCTTAATATACAGTAAAAAGTACTTGTGGCTTTTTATTTAATTAAGTCCAGGTGTTACCAGCAGCCACTGGGATTTGAGAGGAAGGAAAATAAGTGGAGCTTGTTTCCTCAAAGTGTAAAAAACAAAACACCACCAAAAAAAACCCCAAAACAAACAAACAAAAACCAACAAAAAAATCCCCCAAACCCCAGGCAAATCCAAGTTTTACATGACAGTAATTTATGGCTCGGTCAGTCTGAGCCACATGGGCTTTTACAACAGCCTGTTCCTTACTTCCCACTCTCCCTGCACACTAAGGTATTCCACAGTTACCTCTTTGACAGACATTCCACAAAGCCTGTTGACTGCTTGACCCAAGTCAGGAGAGGGTACAGTTTCTTTCATGAAGTCCATGGCCTCAGAAATCACCTACAACAGCAGCAGAAATAATCATCAGGCTGGACTGTGCTCTGCATCCTTGCATACAGTGCCTATAGGAAAGTAAGTGGCAGTAGATGTGGGGTGCACTGCCAGGGTGCCTTTTCTGTGCGCTTGTGCTGGTGGTTACAGGGCCTCCGGTGTGTGCAAGGAAGACAAACAGATCTGTTACTCTCTGGAAATAGAAACGACTGTTTCTACCTTGCATGCAGCAGCCTTTCTGGCCTTGCCTAGATAAGTAGGCAGGGCCTTATGCTCCTTGCCACAATGTCTATGGGAAGCTCTCAGGAGCAGGGAGCTGGGGAGAATTCTTGGAATTCCTACTGCTGAAATGCATTCAGTTTGCCCTAGGATCTTGAGCTGGTCCTGGCTTAACAACCCAATGACTCTGGACACTAGATTCAGGGTCTCAGATATAAGCATGCTTGTGATGGAGCATGCGCAGGTGTTTGCTGAGGGAGTGGCAGAGGATCTTCAGCTTTACCACAGATTTTGTGTGGGAAGAGCTGCTCAGCATGCAACTCCTGGCTGTCCTATCCCCGCTGGCTCTGTGGAGCCCCAAAGTTTGTCTCACAAGCAGATATTGCTGAGACATGGATGAAGAAAGTCCTACCACAGTCATTGATGGGAAGCCTGTGGTCCATATTTGAAGATCTGTGTGCCAATGAGGGGGAGAGGGCAGGAGTGCATGTGTACAGCATTAGCCAGAGCACTGGCCCTCTTGACTAGCATGGCTGTTCCCACTGTATTTATTAATGATCAAACTGGTCCCATTTCATGGGTTCTCCATGTCAATTGCCTACCCCAGTGTAAACGAGAACCCACCACAAATCTGGTCCGGAGAGGCTTGAAAACACTGCTGAGGGAATGCTTGAAGAAGCTGCAGGAAGAGGAAGAGTTGAGCAGGTTTTGCACAAGTCTCATGCAGGCGGTGGGGTTGCTGGAGCCGGTGATGTTGAAGACCTCCTCAGGGCCAGTGATGTCTGATGTGTCATCACTGACGGCACAAGGCCCAGCACGCACTGATTGCCACTGCACTTCTCGGGAGTAGGCGAGTGGCCAGCAAGGATTAGACACAGTTTTAGCACTTCTCTGATCCTAAAGGCAAAATAAAATAAGGGCAGAGGCAGCAAGAGAGGAGGTTGGCATCCCAGGGCTTCATGAAAGAAGACAAAAATGTAACACAGTGAAGAACAGATTTCCTCTGGCACCACAATGTTGTAATCGAGCAGGCAGGCTGCAGAAGGTTTGCCAAACCTTATCTCAGCTAGTCAACTGCAAGGCCCGGACTGAGGCATCAGGCTCCCGGCTCCTGCGCAGTTCAGGGCAAACTGCAATGGCTGGACCTGCTGTGGGAAGCTGAAGCACCCCAGCCCTGCCTCCTCTCTCTCAGACCAGAAATACAGTTTCAATGAATCTTGTACTCTTTCTAGTTGCAGGAAAGAGGCTGTTCTGGTCTGCCTTCCAAATGGCTCAACCCCTCAAGAATCAGTGTTTCTTATCTCTTGGAACTCCCCAATACAACTGTGGGGAAGTGGGTCTCAAATAAGAGGAGGTGTGGTTTATAGGGAGGCAAGTGGATGGGCAGTGAGTAGTTTATTTCTGAAAAATTCAGTTTTGGTGGAGACTAAAATGATTCCTGGGTTTGCATCAGATCCTGCCTGCCCCCAAGTGAAATAAAGTTTGGAAGAACCAGAACACCTGCATGTTTTCAAAATGAAATATTGCTCTTTTAAAGATGCTCCAGGGTTAAAGTCAGCAAAGGAAATAATACCCCAAATGGATAGTCCCAGTTGGTTCCCAGGTGCTGTTGTTTAGGCTCCCCTTCTATGATGGAGGAGCCAAGGAAAGTCTTTGCTTCTCTTCACCCTGATGGTGATCTTAGCACCTCTGGAGAGCAATTTTGTGCTCATGTGTATTAAATAAGGAGCCAAATAGAACCTGCAAGTAGGAAACTCTTGAATGGGGGCCTGTGTCTCTGCTTGAAGGGCATCAATTTGGGCATAGAGAATAAGTTTTACAAATACACTGGGCTTTTTGTATATATATGTAAATGCCCTCTATTAAAGACAGCGATTGCCATTTTGACCATTAGAAACTACACCTTGTGCAACTGTCATTTAGTGATATTGTATTCAGGAACCTTGCAAATGCCCTTCTGGCAGATACTCACTTGAATGAGAAGAGAGAGCAGCCTGCTGCGGAGCTGGTCCGTGCCGTGGCAGGGGCAGTGATGAGTGTACACGTTGTGCGTCTGCCCATAGAGCTGCAGCCTCACTCCCTCTTTTGGTGCCTGGTTCTCTTCTTCCACCTTGGAAGTGAGCTGTGTTGAGGATCCACCCACGGACAGGACTCCTGCCATCCCCTTCCCGGAGGGGACCAACTGTCCTTGCCAGTCGTACTGACCCAAAAAGAACCAGAGAGGTCAGTTCTTAAGACTTCTACACCTGGGTCACAGTGAGAGAGAAAGCAGCCTTCTGGTGCAGTACAGCCCAATTTTCCGCCCCCCCCAGGACATAAGGGTGCTGAACTGGTGGCTTTGGAGAGAACAGAGGAGCAAGCACTGCCATCTGTGCAGAGCACTCCCTGCAGCCAGCGAGAGCAGACAGGGCTCACCATCCTGGACGGCTGTTTAAGGCAGTGGTCTCAGCAGGTAGGAGCAGGGGAGAGCGGAGAAGGGGTGGGAGGAATGGGAGGGAGGTTTCCAGATGCACAGATATGGGCTTCAAGTGCTGCCTTGATGCTAAAGTGGTCCTGCTGTCAGAAGAACCCTGTGATTTCATCTGCTGCAGTCTTGCAGAACTGATTTTGGCAATGCTGAAGTTAGCAGTACAGGCAGGAAAGTTTACGTGGGTGTAAGCACTCTGTCCCTGGCCGGGGGAGGCTGTGTTGCTGCCAGCAGGGCTAGCAATTCCCTAACCATTGCATGCTTGCTGCTCGTTGTCAGAACTGCCTTGCACTTCCCTCACGTGGAATAACTTGGTCTAACGCACCTTTCTCTTGCCCTTTGAATTCTTGAGACCCTTTGGCTTGAGAGCCATGGGTAGAGCAAGGAAACTTAAATGTGTTCTTCCTGTTTAGCGAGTGCCTTCTGAATACAGACCAGGCCCCTATGCTGGGGACACCCAGCTATGCTCTCACTAGCATCTCAATGAGAGGAAGGGCTTTTGCTCTGGCAACAGAAGACTCTGCTTCTCTGTCCACCATCCACAGGATGTCCCGTGGGATAGTTGGACCGCAGTGGCAATCCCACAGCACTCCACAGCCAGCAGCAACACCTGTTTGACAGTGGTGCTGAGCTAGAGCTGCAGAGACTGAGAGCAGTGGAGTTCTTGTTGACACCCTAGGGCCAAGCTACGTAAGGTCATCTGTGTGAGTATCCTGGATGTGTTGTCCAGAAAGCCTCACATCCGTTAGGGCAACTGCATGAACATGTCCATGAAAGGCTGTATTAGAGGTTTGGTCCTTCAACCTAATTATAACCATCTCGCATTATGTCCCCCAACCAGCTGGTGTTGGATATAACCTGCCTCCACTGAAAGGCAGAAGAAATTGTGCTTAAGCATGGTTTAAAGTACGGGGTTTTAACGATCCCTCCACATGTCTCTCTGGCTGTTTGTTAATGGGAGTTGCTCAGCTCAGTTCTGTACTCCCCAGACAGGATCATCCTTTACCTTGAAGAAGTTCTCCAGGACGTAGTTAACAGCAACCCAATTGAATGCTTCCTTGTCTGGGCTGGACAGGATTTCTGCCCCCTGAAAGTCAAAGGGGGATGACTTCAGGGCAACAGTCAGGGCTGCAAGGAGACCATCAGAGAGGATGGAATGGGTGAGGCTAAACAGAAAAGAAAAAGAAGGCACATTTGTTGTTACAGGACCCTGCCAGGAGCAGCCTGTAGTGGGGGCACAGCTACAGGGCTTCTGCTGTGCTCCCCACTTTGGGTAGTAGCACAGAGACATAATGACAATCCCACTCCTGCTGCTACTTCCCTGTCTCCTTGCATGGCACTGGGGGCAAGAACCGTAGAGGGATGATTTGAGCAGTTGTGCCACCATTCAAGGATCTGGGAGTTTAGTACCCTTTGCCACTGAGTGAATCCTGTGGCTTTGCCCCACTGACCTGGTGCCCTCCAGACCTTACTTTTCTCCAGTGTCTAAAAGGAGATAAAGGTCCCAGTGATGAGGTGACTGAGGACAGGGTCCACAAAAGTGTGTATGATAAGGTGGATCCTCCCACCACCATTCCCAACCTGCCGACAAGAAGTGCCCCTGCAAGCCTGTGTGTGTTGTCACATAAACTGAAAACACTTAGCTTCCAGACTGACAGGTGTTTTCCCAAGCGCTAATTGTGAAGGAGACTTTACACAAAATGGTAGACTCATCCTTATGGCTGCCTGGGGGGACAGTATGGAGACACAGCCATGCTGTACTCCCCTCGAGTACATGGGGACCTGAAAAAGGTTTACCTGACTAGCAGATTAGGGATGAAACACACTGCAGAGCAGGCAGGGTGAGATGCATTTACAGAATGATCCGCATGACGTGTGCTGATCTCTGGGTGTGGGTTTGCAACATTCACTCACTTCAGCTGCCTCATGCTGGCGGTTGCTCCCAAGTAGAGGGGGGTTTGGCTGTGCTGCTCTGGCGGGATCTCTTTCTGGGCCCAGTTCAAACATGGCTCCAAGCTCTTCCCTACTTTCTGAGGAGAATCTGAATAGTTGGAGACTCCCAGACCTGAGGACCAGGGGAAAGAATTAAATTTTCTAAGGAAAGTTATGGGGAAAGTGTGGAGGTTGTTACCCAAGAGGTTGCTGTCTTAGGGCATGGTTAAAGACAGGACCTGTCACAGGCAGAATGAAGGAGTTCCTCCAGGTAGCCATCCTGCTAAAATATGGTACTGGGAGCAAAACACATGCACAGGTAAATCCCAAATTGCACTAAGAGAACCCTAGCTCTGCTGCTGAGACATCCTGTCAATGACCACGTATCAGCCACATGACTGCGGCAACAGCTGAGGCTGTCTCAGCCCACAGAGGAAGAAATGTGGCTTTAGCCACTGTAAAAGTTAAGCAAAAGGACACACTGCCATACGGACAGAGCTGAGGCTGATGTGTCACTTCTCTCCTCCAGCCACTTCCTCTTGTGTTGGTGGAGGTGGCTTCCGAGGCCCACGCCTGCAAACAAGACACCTCTGCTCTAGAGGAAGCTGGTGCTGTGCGGAGGGAAGCTGTGTGCAAGCCTTGAGTCATCTTTCCAGCAAGATTCAATGGGGTCTTAAATGCTGGTTTTGAACTACTACCCAGAAAGAGCCTCACTTCCCCATCCTCTGGCCCACTTGTCTTCCTGGCTGCACGACTCCTTCACCACATGCTTTGGTCTCCTGGGCCCTGTATAGGGCTGAGCTGCAGCTTGCCTATGGCTACTCAAAGGCTATGGCTGCACTGCCATGCAGACAGGGGACTACTTCTTACATCTAGGTGAGAGACCAGCCTGGACCTCCTGTTGCTGCTGCTGACAAACTGCTGCACCAACTTACAGTTGCTGTTTTTAACCCAGCCAGTGAACATGGCAGCAGTCAAGGGAGATATACAAGGTTTCAGGGGGCCCTTATTACATCTTCTGTATGTGGTTTGTATCGCTTACAGTCTGCAAGGGCACAAACCCTCTTCCCTGCTTGCTGTGCAGCTGCCCTCCCACAGCACACTGCCGCTGAGAGTTCAGGGTTTCCCAGCATCCCCGCTGTAATCAGGCTTCAACATCAAAGCAAGATTGAGAGATAGGGAAGAAAAACCCCAAGCACTAATGCATTAAACCCTTTCAGCTGTCTTTGGTAGGGCCAAGCTGATTCAAATTAGTGAGGAAGGCTCCAATATTCTCCAAAATGTGACACCTAAAACTAAGCTGAACTGATGCTTATGCTGTCAAACCCCACATAGGGAATTGGAGTCTTTGCACTTCCGTTGTCTTCGAGCTACACCACTTACTGTCCAGACTACAGTCAGGAGGAGGCAGAAGATACCAGGAGTCACCCTGCAGCCAGATTTGTCTCCATTGCTGTTCACTGTCTCGCCTGGAGGAGAAGATCAGCAGCCTTGGCTCTTCCACTGATCCACGTGGACATCAGGACAAGCCCCATCCTCTCTATGTGCTTCCCTGCCCACAGCAGGCCAAAAAACTGTCACCTGCTACAGCCAAGTGCTCTGATGTCAAGCTGTGTACGGCTAAATCTGCCCACGTTGAGAAGACCCATGCTGAAAATAAGCAGCTTGTGCTTTACTCTTACCACTATTTCAGTGTTCAGCTAGATGTAGGAGATACAGGAGCCAAGGAAATTGTGGCAATGGTCCATGCACAGATCTCTGGCTTTCCATCCATCCCACCCCAGTCCCAGAGATCACCAAGCATGAACTGAGCACCTTACCTTGCACAGGACAGGAACTAGATTCCCTGATCACCCCGGTCTTGTTTGCCTTGGTAGTGGTCCACTGGTAGATGAACAGGATGGTGTGGGATGGGCCAGCATCCAGAACAATGCCATACTGGAAAATCCCCAAAACATTCTAGATAAGCACCACTGAATGCATGCTGCTTTGTTATTGTAGGGTTACTCAGCATTATGCAGGTATTCTGGGTAACCTATGGGCCTGCACTGCAGTATTAGTTAACTTTTTACGTTCAAAGAAAGAGTGAAGCCAGAAGATGATGTGGATTTGCAGGGAACCATCTGCATTTCTGAATATATACATGAGGAGCAGCAGGAGTAGAGAGAGACCCAGAAATACATCAGACCTACAGTGGCATGCTCTGTAGCTGTTCCTGAAACCAGGCAGAGGGCTTCCACTGAGAGCTGAGCCACCTGGAGCTCAGGAAAAACAGGTCCTAAAGCAGTGGGTGGGAGATGGCACTATAGAGGCTTTTGACGGATTCTGGGACTGAAACTGCTGCTGGATTTGTTTGCTAAGGCTTTTGTGCAGGAATCAGAGGGTTGCGGCTTGCTCCTACTTCTGAGGAACCCGAGACTCCCACATCTGTTTTATGCCCCACTGCAGAGATGGTGTGACACGGGCTGGGTTTGTCCCAGTGAGTGCCAGACCTGTAAGAACTGCAGTACACAGGGACCAACCAGCACATAAACTGTCCAACACAGCAGCCCCACAGAGACTGAGGTAATGTCTTGGCAGAAACAGCAGCAGTGAACATGAGATTTCTCAACATCTTGTCCACTGACAGTTCTCTTGTTGCCTAGTGGTGAAGCTGAGGGTTTTCTTAGTCTCTTTGCAGACCAGGATCTGGTCTATTTGCTGCTGACCAAGCCTTGCTGAGTTGCACCTTCTATGTGAGGGTTAGGAAATGAGAGGCCACTGGGGTACCCTGCAGCACAGCTCTATGGCTGTTCTGCATGTCCTCACACTCAAAACAGCCCCAGTGCTAGTGTAGGGTCTCCTCCTCTCCCCCTCTATTACATGACCCCAAACTGGAACACCTCCTACACAGACGTGACAGAAACTCATGAAGTCTGGGAGGTACATGGTAGTGCATGGTCTTAGAGGAGAAACCTCCTGAGATGTTGATGTTAACACTGTCAGAAGGGTTTTAGTACAAGCCAGAGTGTGGCTGCAGCCTCCTAGTGAAGCTGGCTGCCTGCCACCTTCCCGGGAGCTCCCAGCTGCACCAGACACGGTGCCCGGGCCAGGAGCTGGTGGGACTGGAACTGGAGCAGAAATGCGGAAGGAGGATGGAGCTCCCTGCCTGAGCCTGCTGGCATCCTCCCACATGAGTGACAGCGCATATTTCTCGCAGGGACACGTAGGCTGCCGCAGAAGAGGAAGAAATGAATGGCATTGGCAGAGAAACCTGGATTTTTTTCCTCCTTCACAAAATGAGAGGCTGCTGCTGGGAGCGCAAAGGAGGAGAGGGGATCCCACATTTCTGCCCCAGCTCAACACCAGGGAAGGACAGAGCATGGTGCAATAAGTTTTGGTTTTTTTAATCCAATTTTGTTTCTGAGAGGAACATGGAGGAGGGGTAGAATCTCTAAACGTGCAGGTTAACCTACTTCTGTTTGATTAAACCATAGCGTGCCACTGATCTCACCTCAGCAGTGGGTGCATCAAGAGGCAGAGCGGATGGGCATTAACCCCCCAGTCACTGGGCAGATATGACCTTGCTGCGTAGAGCAGGTTGGCTCCTCGGTTAAAATCAAGGGAGGACAGAAGAGGAGAAGGCATGGAAGATAAGGTTGGTTTTTTTTTTTTTTTTTTTTTTTAAAGACAGAAGCTGCAGTTCAGGGCCAAATTCCTGCCGACTTTCAAGAGGGACGTAGTTCTTTCCTTCCACTGACACCTCTGGGCCTTTGCTGCTCTGGGGTAGCTCCTGACGTGGGCTGCCTCTCCTCAGCCTGTGGTGAGCATCTCTGCTGATCCATATCCAACCTGTATTTCCCTGACCACCCAAAGGGGTTGGCTTGTTTTCAGTTTGAAAAGCTACAGCATGTTGAAGGATACCAACCCATCCTCACAGTTTTGTTCTAGTCCCCTCCTCAGTTTGTTGTTTCGGGCTAGTAAATAACTCAGTAGTGCAATGAATGTAAAAAGCAACAAAACACACCAGTTTAAATGCCAAGCTTGCACAAGGAAACAGGCAGGTTCTCCTTAAGAAGCAGCCCCACAGACAAGGAGAAGGTCCTCTGCTTATTGCCCCACTTGACCCCTGGCTTGGCTGCCTCTTGGGCAGGTGGACACTCTTACCTTGATCCTGAGCGGAGTGACAGGCACATCTTTAGTGGAGACGCAAAGCAGCACAATACCCGTGAGTCCTGCTACGATCACCAGCCAAGGGGGAAGGAGTTCACGCCAAGACATGAAGTGCTTTCTCCTTTCACAAAGAGTCAAAAGAGGAAGCAATTGAGCAGCAAACTGACAGTGGGTGCCTTATACAACCTTTAAAAAGAGGAGAAAGGCGGGGCCAGGGCCAGGCTCTGACTTCAGCCCAGCCCCAAGCCACAGGGACCACAAGGAACGCGTGGGCCAAGTTGCGATGCGTCAGGCAGTTCTGCCTTCCATTGCTCCGCGCAATAAAAAAACCAACAGCTTCGTGCTGGTTCCAGCGTTAGCTTTGCAAAGACATCGGTGCAACCTCGAAACTGCCCCAGGCGACAGGGTTGAGGTAAACAGAAATGTGGGGTTAACTCAGCTGTGTAATAAGCAGAAAGCAGGCAAAACTCATCTGTTTGGTATTCCGTGCCTGGCAGTGCTAGCTGCCAAAATTAGAAGTGGGGAAACTCCTTGTTGCTAGGTTTCCTTTATATCTGAGGGCTCCAGGGTGGACCTGGGGTGCTCCCCTGCAAGCACGTGTCCATCAGGTTGGGGCAGAGTGCGGGCACTCTGCCCAGTTCTTTCAGACTGCTCCTACCTCCTCGTTCGCTCTCAGGTGGCACCCAGGATGAGAAAATGTTGGTATGTTTGGGTCTCCGCACAGGAGACTCCGGCTGGTTTGGTCTTTGGTGTGGGGGAGAAATGCCGGGGGCTGCTCGGGGTCTTTTGGCCTCAGAAGGCTGGGTTCAGCGTAGATGACCATACAACCCTTCCTGACAGCCTCTCCATCAAAGATAACCAACCCCCAGACTTTACAAAACACGCACCCGCTTTCTCCTTTCTGGTGACCCAAAGAAATGTCACCAAAACTGGAATTTCTGAAGGAAAATCTGTTAGTCCCAGGAGCGGTGCTGCTTTTAGGCTGTCCCCATCTGTTTCCTGGTGATTTGGTCGAGGAATAAAAGTGCAATTCCTTTAAAGAAATGTTTTGGTTTGTGTGAGCTGAACCATTTATTGGCAAGGCCATCTTGTCCTCACCAGAGGACTTCACCAGCCAGGCCTCTGTCTGCAGAACTAAAGGAGCGACACCTTCTTGGTCTTGCAGGGGTATTTGGAGACACATCTCTCTATCTTAGAGTTCTTTTAAGCAAAGTGCCAGAAATGCCTCATCTTCCTGCAGAGTTTAGACTCCAGTTCAGCTTTTGCTGGTCAACAACTAGAATGCATCTGCAGATGTCCTGTAGTGACAGGACAAGGGGCAACAGTTTTAAACTGAAAGAGGGTAGATTTAGATTGCATGCAAGGAAGAATTTTTTTACAATGGGGGTGGTGAGACCCTGGAACAGGTTGCTCAGAGAAGTTGTGGATGCCCCATCATTGCAAGTGTTCAAGGTCAGGTTGGAGCAACCTGCTGCAGTGCAAGATGTCCCTGCCCATGGGAGGGGGGTTGGACGAGATGATCTTCAAAGGTCCCTTCCAACCCAAACCATTCTGTGATTCTTTTGCTTACACTTGGGCTGACAATGCTCTACTTTGCAACAGGGACATGGATTAAATTGCCAGAGTGCTGACAGTCCTCCTCCCCCTGCTCTCACGTCTGCCCAGGAGGACAGGCAGACATGCTTCGCTGGTGAGGGTTTGTGCAGTGATTCAGCTTGCTGCAGTGCCACAGAGAAAACAAGTGCCCCAGGCAACCTCCTGTCTCAGAGAACTGCTGCACGCAGGATGCGTGGAGCAGCTGCTCCCACCAGGATGGTTGGCTGATTGCTCGCACCCATGGTCTGGTTGTGGTAGTTTACACCAATATTGCAATATATTATCAGCACCTAAGGATATCCAGCAGCTACTGAGGAGCTGCCAGATCCTACTGTGGTCAGGCCAGCTGGAACAGGTTGCTCAGAGAAGTTGTGGATGCCCCATCATTGCAAGTGTTCAAGGTCAGGTTGGAGCAACCTGCTGCAGTGCAAGATGTCCCTGCCCATGGGAGGGGGGTTGGACGAGATGATCTTCAAAGGTCCCTTCCAACCCAAACCATTCTGTGATTCTTTTGCTTACACTTGGGCTGACGATGCTCTACTTTGCAACAGGGACATGGATTAAATTGCCAGAGTGCTGACAGTCCTCCTCCCCCTGCTCTCACGTCTGCCCAGGAGGACAGGCAGACATGCTTCGCTGGTGAGGGTTTGTGCAGTGATTCAGCTTGCTGCAGTGCCACAGAGAAAACAAGTGCCCCAGGCAACCTCCTGTCTCAGAGAACTGCTGCACGCAGGATGCGTGGAGCAGCTGCTCCCACCAGGATGGTTGGCTGATTGCTCGCACCCATGGTCTGGTTGTGGTAGTTTACACCAATATTGCAATATATTATCAGCACCTAAGGATATCCAGCAGCTACTGAGGAGCTGCCAGATCCTACTGTGGTCAGGCCAGTCCTGCTTTGCTCCCACAGAAACCACTTGCCGGCAGAGCAGTGTGCACCTCAAACCATGCAGGGCTTGCTTTTTGCAGCTGGGAGACGGGGAGGGGAAATGAGGGACCTAAGGAGGTCACAGCAGCTCATGGCTGGGAATGGCGGAGCGCATCCGTTCTCTCACTGGGATGTCGGGGTTCGTGGGGGTCTGTTGACAGACCCAAGTGGTTTGGGTGTCTCTAAATCACATAGGTTTTACCTCGATAGTTATACTAACTGGTGGGCAGACGCCAAAGGGGGTTCTGTGATGGCTTGAACTGATGCAGCTCTATACAATCCTAGCACCTGGCTGCAGATCTCATGAAGGACAAATTAGGAATTTTTTCCACACTCTGTAGCAGCTATTCTGAAAGTACAGGCCTGCAAAGGTCAAACCATGAAGCAGAAAGGCCAATTCTCTTTTGTGAGGCTGGTTTTGGTTGCATTCCGTTTTCATCGCTGTCTGCCAAGGATCAGCCAAGAAGTTGCGGCCACCTCACTGAAAGGGAGGCCTCATGCACCCGCAGGAACCCCAACATTTGCTGCCATGCTCCCGTATTGGTGTTAGCTGGAGCAGTGTGCCCCAGGCCAGCGCTCAGCCGGAGGGTGCTGTGGCCCCGGTGTCGGTGCCGGTGCCGGGGAGCCTGGGCGCCACCCGGCAGTAGCGGCGGAACCTTTGTGCGG